GCCATTAGGCAAAATAATAAAGATCTCAAAGAGCACTATTTAAAAACCTACAACTAGTAAAATCAATGAAAAAAATAAAATATTCCAATGTATTACAGTAAATATTTTGGAAAAGTAATAAAATGTCACTATAGAAGTCAAAATATAAAAGTTTTTGAGTAATGATTTGATGAAATATATAAACAAAAAGATCACATTCAATATTTTATGATGGTTTGTGTTTGTTTGTCTGTTTGGACCCATAATCAAACTCGGGTTGTTCTTGCCAGGCAGGCACTGTGCTACTAAGATATATCTCTGGTGCCTATATTCAATATTTTACAAAACTTGGACACTATTGACATATTTTTCCAGAAAGATTCTTCATGAAAAGTTTGTTATTTAAATATTCAGTATATACTATATACAAATACATATTTTTATATCAAGGCAAAATCTTTTAATTTAACCTGACTTAACTATTTAAATGGAAAAAATAAAGCTTCTCAATTTGTCTTATGCCACTGCTAGTACAAATTTAATCTTCTCATCTATAGGTTATCATCTATGGCTCGTTATTAGGACTATATTTTAATTCCCTGTAGATTTCAGCTAATTGACCTTGGGGGAAAGCTGAGTCTCGGTGACAGTATTGCCTTCAATCACCACTGCCAACATAAATAAATGGTTTCTCTCTGAATCCATCAAGAGTAATCTGAGTGGAATTTCAGTTTTTGATAGACTTTAAAGAAATGAGCCCAGATGTGGAATAATACCCTCTCCAACCAAAAAAAAAAGTAGGATTTAAGACAGCTAAGGTTTATGTAATAAAAAGTGTTTAGCTCTTTATATTGGAAGGTGGTCCATTATATTGAAATCTGAACATTTCCCAAATTGATTTATCCACTAATGAACTAAATATAATTTGATGATAATCTTCATTCACATAAACAAATGAGATGTCAATTCAGTCTAAACGCATCCATTTGGCATTTTTTAAAAATGTGTTTTAAAATGTTAAATAAAAAGAAATCTCTTATTTAATTTTGAATGTCTCCTCAGATCATTTGATTTAAAAACATCACTCTTTCTGAACTGTTGATTTTTATGTACACCAAGTCCTGTGAGATTTTCAAAATATGTATCTAAATAACTCTCCCTACAGGTGTTAAATTATCTCATTAGTAAATAATTAATGCATTTCTTTCATAGCATGTCTCATCTTTTCTAACTCTATAAAATTTCCTGGTTAATAGATTTGCTATTTAAAAATAAAAATTTAAAACCTCAAGGAAGAATAAATTTAGAATGCAACCAATACCTAAAGAATATATATGCTCATACTATATGAAGCTAAATATTTACGCAATGATTATCTAAACAATGGGATAAGGGAACTTAATTTTTATTTAAAACTGTAATTTCTGACAAACTGTTTTCTCAATTTTAGCTGTCCAGATAAGTGCGAAGAACAATCTATATAAAATCATTAAGTTTAGGTACAGACTAATACAAAAGTGAACAAAACCAAGATATAATATTCTTTCCCTTTTTTAATGATGGCGTCTTGTGTAGGCAAGACCAACTTTATTGTTCTCATATCTTTTTTTTTTTTTTTTTTTTTTTTTTGTCTTTTTCCTTTTTATCGATACCGGGGATCAAACTCACGACTGCCTGCTTGCAAGGCAGGCGCTTATGCCACTGAGATAAATCCCCAGCCCCCTTGTTCTCATATCTTAACCAACAAAGTATTTAGCACTTGTGAGCTTCTAGTGTTAGATGATCTGATATGGAATTTATTTAGAGTCGTGTATTTCATATTGGTAGATGTAATAATAATACTTATTTCAAACTCTGAATTATATTTTGCATTTAACAATGACTAATTCAATAACCTTATTATGAGTAAGACTAGGAAGGAAATGTAACATGCTGAACATTAATCCTGTGCAAGCCATTAAATGTGATCTAACTGCATAGATCCTTAGTCCATGTACTTAAATAATTCTAGTACGAGGTAGATGATTTGCCCTTGATATTTTATTATACAGAAGGAAATCATTATTTTAGTTCTTGTAAAACATTGTAAGGTCCACCAAAAGTTGACATTTGAATCAGATTTTAATAAGTAAGTAGAATTTCCTTGTAAGGGAAACTCCTGGAAGGATAACCAGTCGAGAGGAGAGAGAAAAAAAAGGTATAGTATAGGCAACATATGTAAGAGCGAGCTGCAGGGAATAATATCAGAATTGTGGGCATGATCAGAAATGTTTCAGATGATCATATAGGAAAAGGATTAATATATGCACTATATTAGATATGTGTTTGTGAGCTTGAACTGAGAACTGGCAAACTTGGATTTGAGGTCTAGGTATTTGAGACTACTCTTTATGAAGAGACCCTGATTAGGAAAAATAAAATAGGGATTCTTGTTGTTTAATGTAGCACAATTTAGTTACTTTTGAGTCAAATTTTTAAAATATTTTTTTCTAAAATAACAAAAAAAAATTCCCTTTTATCAATGTTGATTGTAGAATAATATGAGCAGGAGCAGCTTGTATTACAAAAATAACCAGAAATAATAATCAATATATTAATAGCAGTAAACTGCATACCTTGCTTACTAAAGCCGATGACTTAATCCAAGCACTTTAAATGTGCCATTTTGATTTACACATACTTCTCTTGTTTTCCAAAGTAGGAAACTACGAAACAGAAAAATTAAGTAATTTGGTCAGGATAACATAGTTGGCATCTGTTGGAGCCAGTATTTGAAGTCCATGAAGCCATCAGACTTTATATTGAGAATAATTCACATCCATCCATCCAAACTCAATACTTAGCCAGTTATAGTTTAAAATTAGAATTTTCAGAGAGTATTTTCATGTAAAATAAAATACAAACAGTAAAATTAAAATTTCTGTAGACTTTTTCATTGAAAAGTAATGGGTTTAGAAAACATTTTAGTTATTCTCAAGTGAAGAATAGAGGTCATTATTGAAAGAAGACAAAAGATGTGAATAATAAAATTAATGCTTTGCTACTTATGGATTATTTATAATTTGGTGTGGTTGTTCTTGCTTAATGTCTCTTGGAAATTTCACAAATATGTACTGATTTTTCAAATGACTGACTGAAGACTTCCCAGAAACTAGTTGTCTATATTAAATTGCAATTATCCCCATAAAAGTATTTTTCCAATAAAACCTTAAACAATTTCTGATCTTCTTGGGAAAGAGAGAAATCCTTCCCCAAGTCCTGACATTCTATCTTAAATAGGTAAACGTGTTACTAAATCATATGTAGCATTTTTGCATTTAACCAATTTCAAACAGCATAATATTTCCTTTACTTTATAGAAGTCATTTTTACTTAGGTCAAGAATTTCTATATCCATGCAGGGGCAGGAAACACGTTGTGCTAGTTCAAGCAGCTTAGTTGCACATGACTTAAACTCACTTAGGATTTGTCCCAGCCAAAATTCTTTCCTTTCTTATTTTTGAACATTGTGACTGCCTAGAAATTCTGGATCACCAGTTTTCTAAGGGGGGATAAGTAGTGTGGGCCGCACTCACCATTCTCTCTTCTTACTGGTCTTTCTAGACGACAATTATTTCTAACAGGGATTGATTGCTTTCGCTTTCTTTGGTGCATGTTACTATGTCAAAAATATTTCCAGTTTTCCCATCCCCAAGTCAAGGATTCTTCTGATTCACTAGCCCATTCATCTGTCTCTATAGCTATCTATTTAGGTCAGATATTCTTTATTACCTCCTTAAAATCACTCTAGGGTATTGTGGGAAACTCTTATTTATCATGAGTCTTTATTATGTCATTGCTGTCTTAGTGCTTTGATACCATATTTGATAAAGAGATGCTAAACCAACTTCCACTCTGTGAAGCAGGGAGATATATCCTCTCTGAGGACACTCATTTGAAACTGAAAAGTCTGTCATTATGCTGTATAATACATCTTCCCCCAGCTCTATTTTTCATCAATTCCTCTTTTGTAATGAAATATTAATTCATATTTTACTCATCAAATATATTTCATTGTGACCATTTCTAAAGTATTTGTTATGGTTTTTTAAAATCTAATTATTTTCTTTCATTCATCTGTTACTTAAAAAAAACCATCTTGACAATGTTGTACATCTGTAAACCCAGCACTCAGAAGGCTAAGTAAGACTGGATCATTGCTATGAGTTTGAGGCCAGCCGGGCTACATAGTGAGTCCACAGTTCCCTTGAACTATACAGTAAAACCTTGTCTCAAAAAAAACAAAACAAACACATCTTATACTTTTTAAAAATTTAGTAAAATTATTTCTAGCTTTGTTTAAAATGCAAAATTTTGATGTTTACTTTATTTCATATATTTTATTCCTTTCTCCTTTTTGCAGTGTAAATTTATTGTGCATGACAAACATTTCATTAATAGTACGTTCATCTTTAAGTTTGTGCGTGTTACATAATCTATTAAGATATTAAAATTATTTCAATTATCAGTAACTTGGTCAATGACATGTCACAAAAAGTAACTGAAATCGTTGAGATATGTTGTGGTTTTATAATTAGCTAAACTCACTGATAAAACAAGACTTGAGCAACATGATGTCATTCTTTGCAGATTCATTCTCCCAGATTCAGCATTATCTACTGATAAAGAGAATATTTTTTAATTCACATCCCTCTTTTAGCTCATTGTATACTATGCAGTATATTAAAAACTGACCTGCCTTCCAAACAAATCTAAATATTCCTAACAATACAATATAATAATAACTTCGTTCAAGAGCTTTAGCTTCAAGAAAGAAGCTAAAGTATTATTTGGCCATATTTGAATCCAAGTAAAAATGATGTTTAAAAAATCAAAATGCAATTTAAAATAATGATTAGATGTTACAGGCATAATGCATAATACACTAATGATTAATTAATATTTTGATTTTAGTCTAGAACTCTTTCAGAATGACCTGTCCCTTCCCATTCACAATGCATTTAACACAATCTCTGTTGCAGGTTACTTAGTTATAGAAAATCCATCAAGTAAGTTTGTGAAATATTTTTCTTCTTTTTTGAATATTGACTTTACATTCACTGACTCAATGAATCTTACTGTGTGGTTCTCTTTTTGTACGTTTGTTGGAAAGCCCTCTAAGCTGGATATAAATCATAAAAGCATGACTAATTGCATGGTAACTGGAGAAATGCTTTCTCTCTCTCTAGGGTGAAGCCTGCATGTCTGTATTTTAGCTTGGGAAGTAATATGGGGATATTTAAACTCCTTGGGTTTAAAAACCATGTCATTATGAGAATGAGGTCACTGCAATATTTTATATCTTCTAAAACCTTGTAATGTATAAAATGTTTTCTCTATGACAAGAGGTATTATGTGCTTTAAGATTCAATGATAACTTTATGCCCTTACATTTACTTGAAAAACTTTATTCATTAAAATGATAAATCCTTCCATTTAAAATCACAGAAAAATTGAAAGAGTTTTTGTACTGTCAATACAAAGAAAGTAAACTCAAAAAGGAAAAAGCTATCTTTGTAAACATGACAGAGTGATTTTAAAAGACCATGTTGTTTGTGGTCTGTGAAATGTTCTTCCTTTAAATGTTAACAGTGCAGCCAAAGACCAGGCTTATGCAAAAAAAAGAAAGAAAGAAAGAAAGAAAGAAAGAAAGAAATATATATATATATGATCTAATGTGACTTCATTTTATACTTTTCTTTACTTGGAGACCAATAAGCAAGAAATCCTTCCTGCAACACGTTGAAGAGCTTTGCACAAACAACAACCTAAAGTTTCAAGAAGAATTTTTGGTATGTTATCAGCAGTTGTCACAACATTGCAAGACCTCCAGTCGTTTTGTGTGTCACATTTCATGTCCATTTTAAGCATGTAAGGCCATGAAGGACTCTGGCCTTGATAATCAATACCCAATTACCAGGTTGATTGTTTGGATAGTAATGTTACACTGGGCAGCCTCTGGTGCAACCTGATCAGAATTCTTCACCTACAGTGTCAGGAAGAGGAGCTCTGCTTCAGGCCTGCTCCCCAACGACTGTCTGCCCTCCTTATCTGGTCTTTCATCCCAATGTAGATGTGAATTTAGAGTGACATAGTCATTATTTTTTGTTTGTAGACAATTTTTAGTGTATAGCTCTATATTTAAGTAATTACTTCAAATTTAGACACTAAACAATTCGATTTTATAATTGTCTGGTTAGTTTACACTAAAGGCACAGAAAAATATGAGACCAGATATTTCCACAAGCTTTATTATTATTATTATTATTATTATTATTATTATTATTATTTCTAGGGCTATTCATCTAAGTAAGTAATATCTCTGTCTTATAAGGCTTATTTTTCGAGTTACCATGGAGCAAATGCTCAATCACAATATAGAGATACATATAATTATTTTAAAAGTTGTTTTGGTATTTTATATATCCATAAAATGAAAGTATTTAAAATACAATGGAGATATTAGACCTACTTTAAAACTTTTAGCGTCTTTCCTAACTTAGATGATCATTTTTATAAAAGTTAAGTAGATTTATAACATCTAATTTTATAAAAATTAAGTAGATTTCTATATATCAGTAAAAACTCTATTTCTGTTTTTATGCATTTCTTAATGTGTGAACTTATAAAACCAAGAAACAATTGCCTTCAATAATTCAGGATTATAATATTTCATTCTTTCAGGGAACAATAACAAAAATGTGAGAAGATTAATAGTATTTCCTACAGCTTTTTAGTTATGCTTCTTAGCAGTGTTGGTCTGGACTTAACAAAATCAATGGAACCATAAAATTTTCCTTAGCATTGGTACAGTAAGAACTCTCAATTTTTCAGGAGCAAAAGTATAATTCGACTAGAATATAAGCGAATATAATTACATTATGCATGACTGCAGTAGACAAAAAGTTTTATTAGCAGTAACATTTTCACATAGTAAGAAAGCTTCTAGTTAAACTTTTTTTGGATATTATGTTTTCTGGACATTTAAAAAAATTACCCTAATGCTTTATTAAGTATATTAAAGCAACATTACTATGCCATATTGCATATATTCTATAAATCGAACTTTTCTAATGTAGTCATTTTATTTGGCACAGAGATATATGCCAACTCAGCACTCACCAGCTAATTCGTTCTTGGATAAATTACTTAAACTCTCTGTGCCTCAATGTCCTCATTTATAACATGATGATATCTGCCTCACTAGACAGGGAATAGTAAAATGACTGAATGAGTGCAGTATATGAACAGTACGCAGCACAAGAATTAACTCTTTTCATGATAGTTTGTGTCATAAAGAAACTCATATTTTGATAAAAACTGTAGTCATATGTTTTTTAAATTACAGCTATACTATGTGATGATAAAGGTGTATGTAAGAAAGAAAGGATCAACTCTGAACAGGTTTAATACAAAAAGTGGGCTTCATGGATATGGGAAGGGAATCTGGGGAGAGAAAGTATGGGAAGGGGAAAAAGTAGGAGTAAAAAATACCATAATGTGATACGCATGCATACCAGCTCTCCAATATGAGTGTTTTTATTTTGTATCACAAACATATACTACTGAAAGAAAAAGAAAAAAAGGGAAAGGAGACAGTCTAACTTACCTGGAATCCCACTGAAAACAGAGCAAACAGTAGGAGAAAAAGCTGTTAGCGAAGATCACACAGCCCTTGTGTACCCTAATCAGAAGAAGATCACCCAGTGTATCATTGCTGTGCAGAAAGTCAGCCTGGTAATTGGGTACTGCTTATGACTAGCAGTCACTCAAATCTATAAATAGAAACCTATTTGAGATAATTACATAACAAAGGTACTATTCGCTCTATTGCCCAGTACACTTTTCTTTTCTTAGATATTCCAACAGCCTTGACCAAGAAGGAAGCTGTTCTAGGTTTTCTCATTTCACTAAAAAAAAGGTTTTTTCCTGAGCTTTTGGTGGTAACACCTTGGAACTCAGATGCTTGTGCTATGGCTCCCTGTGACACATACTCACATATCAATAACTTACCAGGTTTACTTTTGGGTAAAAACTGAAATGGGAGAATTATTCAATTTAAAACAAATAATTTATAACGAAGTTTAAAAATACAAAAACACGTTTTAACTTTTTAAAAGGAATTTTGGAGTTGACACTTCTAAAATGGAAGACTATATATTTCATAAGCATAAATCATCAGCTCAACAGAATAATGAACATAATTTGTTGCACTAATTTCCTCAAAGATACTTATATTGCAAAGAGGAAGGTACACAGATATCTTAATTTTTCACCCAAATGTCATTAATAGACCTTCTTGACTCTTTGTCTGTGTCTGCTAATTCTTAATTGCACGTTTGTACTCCACTATCTATTAAACAATACCTGTTGAGTACAGGAATTGACCTCTGGCATCTTCTTAAACTGACCAGTGTTCTACCAATTAATAGGCATGAAATCACACTGCCTGAGAAGAAAAAACAAGAAATAAATCATTTCCTTCTTCCTACTAAGTAGACGCTAAAATATTAAATAATAGTGTGTGCTCCACAAAACCATGAGTAACAAGGAAAAGGGTCACTAGTATGGTTGCCACCTCTTAGGGCTTCCCAGACTGCACAGGGATTATTGCAAGAGAGTGAAATAGCTCAGCTAGTCAACATTATTCAGATAATAATGGTGAAAGTTAGGTAAACTCATTACTGTTCATTGGACCTTACTTCCATAGTGTTAATATTAGGTGTTTTTTAATTTAGAAATTAAGTTCTTTGAATAAAGAATTCTGTTTTGCTAAGGGGAAGTTTTTGTGCCTCTTTGATTAAGTGTAAACTTTGCAATTACTTTATTTTACAGGAATTACCAAAATTTCTTCAGGATCTTTCTTCAACTGATGCTGATCTCCCTTGGAACAGAACAAAAAACCGCTTTCCAAACATAAAGCCATGTATGTGCATTTATTATTTCTGGCTTAACTACAAAGTGTTTCAAGTGTTCACAATTTCACCTTTCTATATTTCTTTAATGTTTTATGAGTTACTAAATTATAATGATATATTTCCTTAGTGATGATTTCAAATTGTAACTCTTTCACATTAAATATTTATTAGAGTTAATATATATGGTTTTCAGCTTGTTCAGACAAAGCTCACTTATGCAGGTGCAAGAAACTGTAGCTCTAATGGTTTCATAGCTTTGTAATTTAACCCAAGTAAGGAACTTGTTTAACATCTTCCTAAAGACCTGGTCTCCAATGAAAAGAGAAAATTTGCACTTGACTTTGAGCATTAGTTTCCCCCATAAGAGTGTAACAGCTTTATGGAACATTTAAAAAGCTTTTGCAAAATACTAATTGAAGATTCAGGGAAACGTGCACTTAACCAAAATTGGTTTTGCAAAGGAGGCAGAGGTTTGCTTCACCATATGGCAGTTTCATTTTTCAGTCAATGAGAAAAAACAAAGTATTATTGCTCTAAGAATCAAGAATGCTATGAAGGGGAAATGTGACAAAGTTATTTGTCTTATATAATTATATTTTGTGAACAGATGCCCATACTATATCAATATTGTGATTCAATATATTTTTTTGTTAAAAAATTAATAAGTGTTATCTTTGATGCTATGTTTATTTCAAAATGTAAAGATTTAAACTATTCCTAATTTTAAACTGGGCATGGTGACACACATCTGTAACCCCAGCTCTGGGGGAACTAAGGCAGGAGGGCCACAAGTGCAAGGCAGTCTGGACAATTTAGCAAGACCTTATCTCCAAGTAAAGATTTTCTTAAAGCCTGAGGTATTGTGTTCCGCAGCAAAGCTCCCTGGATCCCTCTCAGTACCGGAATCAACTGATGAATCCTAATTTTAAAGTTTACATAATTTATACATTCTGAGTCTTTTCAAAAGTATATTGGGGAATTTTTATGCTTAGTAAAAATGAACTTTTAGCTAAAAAGATAAGAATATTCACAAAATGTAAAATCTTGAAGGACTTGGATAGGAAAAAACAGACTAAATTCTGTTATTTTAGAGCTAGAGGCTAAGTTACATATGAAGGAACAAATTTAAAGAAATATGATATAGGGGGTAGTAATCTAATGCAGTTTGTTTTGTCTGAGAAGTAGGAGTGGATGAAAGTGCTGCTTGAAATTATTTCTGTAACAAAACAAGTTGTAAGAAAATGGCTTTAAAAGTATAGGACTTTATTTAGACAATACAGGATATTAGTAATACAGTTCCAAATTTTATAAAATTATGCCCTATCTCAACCTACTCTTTTTTCTCCCTTTCAGAGAGTTAACCTGAGTTGGATATATTATAAATGGGAATTCCCCACATTTTTATATTTATCTGCATAAAATTTCAAGACTGCTTCATGCTTATTTGTGGTATTTTAGGAAAATGAATGCTGTAATATGATTGAAAGACAGTTATAGTGGAGTAATTTGTATATATTATATACGACTGAATTAATAAAAATATGTATAATAAGTAATTTGCATGGGTCTAATTTATGTTCGAGGACTATCTAATTTAAAATGTATAAAATTTGAGATCCTAAAAAGATATTTTTACTATGACTTTTCAGTCTTTTATTATTAAGATCTCAATGCATTATTACGTATACCCTCATTTAGGGTATAAAAATAATTCTAGTTTTACTTATAAGATGGGAATGGATTAAAGATGACAGACAAAATGAGATAATCTTAAAATAATATAAAGGACTGAGAAATATAACTGGCTCAACTGTTTATGTGTGAGGTTAAGATACAAAATTATCAGACTTCCCAGGGTGCTGTTAATTGCCTTAGTCATTCTGGCATATTGTTCTGTGTTCTGTACCTCATAAGGTTTCTGTGAGAATTAGATGAAATGATCATGCATATCACTTTGTCCAGTATTGGAACATAGGAAACACTCAATAAATATTAGTTCTTGTGATGGCTAGTCATCAACACATTGCTTCCAAGAGGAGAATGAAAAAGACTCAAGATATAAGATATACATGTACCAATTCCCCTAACGTTATCATTACATATGCAAATATTGCTAATAGTAAATAAAAGCTGCTGACTTTCTGAGTGAATAAGATTAAGTTATAGCCCCTCGGGGTCTGCTCCCTGGAGATGACAAGCACACCTCCCTAACCTGGGTTAGGAACCACACTGTAAAGTCCTCCATAGACAAGATAGACTTGTTCCACACAAATGCACAAATGCTGCAAGTGAAAACAAGGTATTTAGACTAAACATCTTAGCTCGCTTAGCTTGTAGAAAACCCATAAAGCTGAAGAAACATAGCTCTCCCCGTGGGGAATGAATACATTTTAATAGAATCTAAACTGTACCCTGAGTCAGCTTAGTAAATGCTTTGTTTCCTCTCATTAGCGTAGGAAGCAGAATTTCAATACCCAGTGCGTTTTAGAAGGTATTAGTTTACATGGCTTTAGATACTAGAATTAGCTGCAAATACTTGGAGAAGAGATTTCCAGATCTCCATTGGACAGGACACCATGGACAACAGGACGCCATGACCTTAACATTCCAACACTGTGAAGATAAGTTCAGCTTGTTGACTCAGCTAGTTGCAAGCAGGCATTTTGAGTGTATCCCTTCCTGAGAAACAGGACTAGTGACAATGGCACTAAAGCAGATCATTACAAAACTCATTATGTGTGAGGCAGAAGTCACTTGCAAAACTCTGTTAAATATTCTCCATCAAACTCTAAACACATTGGATAGGTAATGGCATTTTCTAATAATACAGTTTAATAATTTTAATGTATGTGCTTAAGCTTTGAGACCATATGTATTGAGCACTTGCTATAAGCTTTCATATTGTTTTCCTCACCAAGATTAGACAAAATAAATATTGTAACTACTAACTACACGTTCTTAGTGAGGTAACTAAAGACCACAGAAGTTAAGGAGTTTACCCAAGGCCACTTGTAGGAGAGGTCGAATAACAGTAAACACATTCCTGTTACTTTATTTGTTTTTCTTCCTTGGAAACCACAGCAGCAAAAATCTTCAAAATAATTTAGTAATTCTTTTGTTTTTGTTTTGTTTTGTTTTTGAGACAGGGTTTCACTATGCAGTTCAGACTGACCTTGAACTCACTTTGTAGCCCAGGCTGTCCTTAAACTCCCAGAGATCCTCCTGCCTCAGGCTCCTGAGTACTGAGGTTATACCCATGAGCCACCATGCCCAGCAGTAATTTAGCAATTGGTATATTATTATGTTATTTTCATGAATATCACTAGATAGTCCACTTATAATATAAACAGTAAAAATAGGAGAACATAATGTCTGATGCTTCTTTGAAGAAAAATAATGGGTACAGGGTAGCTAATATAACATCTTAAAATATTCTAAAAAAAAAAACTAGAAAATTTTTTGTGAAATAAATAATAAACTAAATAAATGAGAAAGAATAAGTGGTCTAAAAATATACGCAAATGTATTGAAAGATGTAGTGTATGATAAAGTCAGGTTTTTTAATCAAGGTAAGGAAGGAATTATGAATAATTAGGGCTGTCGGGGCTGGTGATTTAGCTCAGTGGCACAAGAGCCTACCTGGCAAGTGCAAGGTCGTGAATTCCATCCCTGTTACCGCACCAAAAAAAAAAAAAAAAAATTAGGACTGTTTGTTGTTCCATATAAGAGTATAAGAATAACGAAACAATATAAAGTATTTCTACAATTTCTTAAAAAGAATAAAGGAAATGAAATAAAAGTTTGAAATACTTTAAAGTAAACCACAGAAAACCAATAAAATTTAAGAAGATATAGAAAATGTATAAAAATACTTTATAAGACAGTTGTAATGGTTCACACACAACCAAGAAGCCATAAAAAAGGAAATTTATGAATTTGACTGCATAATACAAATTTGTGTAAAGCAAACTAGAACCAAAGACAAATGATACAATAGAAGAAACTTTTAGCCTGTAATCCTAGCACTTGGGAGGCTGAGGCAGGGAGATCATTGTGAGTTTGAGACCAGCCTGGGCTAAAAAATGAGGTGATGGCCAACCTGAACTGCATAGTGAGACCCTGTCTCAAAAAGACAAAAAAGAAACAAACAAAGAAAGAAACTTTTAGACGATATGACAAAAAGCTGCATATAGTCATAGCATAGAATATTTTTTAAATAGAAAATAAAAAATATGAAAATACTATTAACATAAAAGACTTTGAAATGACCCATAAACATAAGCAAAGAAGCTCAGTTTCATTCATATTTAAGAAAATTACATAAACATAGGAAGCATGAATTTGTATCTGTAGAAATAACATAAATTACAATATTTACCACTTTGTGATAAGAAAAATGAGGTCACAGAATTGCTACATGTTCAGAGTACAAGTTAATAATATTAGACAGTCATTTGGCAGTATATTTCAAAATTGGAGGTGTGATTTTGATACATGTACTGTCAAAGCAAGCACAAGAGAGTTGTGATTTCAGAATTGAGAATGTATTCTACAAATATACTGCTACATATATGCAAAAAATTCAAATATATTTATTCCTCATTTTTAATAATTAATGGTAGCATTTAAATCATCATAGTTAAATAAATATATTAAAACAACAAAGACTTTTTAAAATAATAAACTGGGAATATTTATACTTATATGAAAAAATTAAGTAAATTGAAAAAGTAACATCACACAGACTGTATTCATATCATTAGTAGTTAATTTTCTAAGAATATTTATATTAAATGTTGGAAATAAATATATTAAAAATATATTAACAGTGATTATTTTTGAGTGGTAGAAATATGAGATAAAAGGAAATTTCTTTCATTTTATTCCCATTTACAAAGTCTGAATATTATGTCATGAATTTATACTACTTTTATAATGAAAGTAGAAAGTTAAAAATCAATTTGCATTTATTGCTTATATTTCTTCTTAGATAATAATAACAGAGTGAAGCTGGTAGCTGATGCTAGTGTTCCAGGATCGGATTACATTAATGCCAGCTATGTTTCTGTAAGTTACTATTTTTATATATTTATAAATTATAAATACAGAAACTTTGTTTTCTTTTAAGTATCTAAAACAACAAATTCATCTGTGAATCTTAATGTGCTAATATCTACATTGACACTGTGCAGCTTTATTTTAATACATAGGCAGATAGAGGCATCTAATCGATTTGTTTTTATCAGCAATCATTTCAGCAGTTCATGGCAGACATACAATTTAATGTTATATATCCTGTTCTTTCCACTATTTCATCTGCTTTGTTTATTCTTTTTTTTTTTTTTAAACTGGGAATCGAACTCAGAACTTTGTACTTGCCAGGAAGGTGCTGTGTCACTGAGCCATATCCCCAGCTCATTTGTGTATTCTTTGTATGCACTGAGGACTACCAACTTCATGTGCAATGAACAATTAGTCATATGGGCACTTATTCTCATATGGTGTAAAAACCTGTTAGGCAGGTTTTCTGTTCTAGATTTACAGTCCCTCAGGAGACAATGATATGCTGGTTTTTTACTCTCAACTACTTACAGAATTATACACTCTGTTATAGCTATTCAATAAACATATCATTAATAAACCAATGTGGAAAGAATTGTGTTATCCTTAATGTACTATCTTGCTATAGGTAAGTGCTTACTGATCTGGACTGAAAATTGAACAAAACTCATTTATTTTCTCTGCTTTCTTTCTCTGTGTTCTTTAGTTCAGTCAGTAGTCATCACCATCACAGATATTTAGAAACTTACATGCACCTAAACCTTGGCTGACACATTCATGTACTCTTCTGGTCAGTTAATCTGAAATTTACATTGGAACTCTCTTCTAAAATATTCATGAAAATTAAATTTCAGCCTCTCTAGGCATTGATTCATCCACTGTCTTTTATGGTAGATGTTTCTGTCTTTAAATCTTTTATACAGATCTTTCAAATCAACATAAAACCCTTTATATTTTCACGAACTGCTCTAACTGTAATACGTAGTGAGGTTAAACATTTTAATTACAGGAAACTACAGATACTTGAGGGTTTCCTTGACTGTCCACACTTTTTACACCACCACAGCTACTGTTATTTTCCCTTTCATAGATCTTTTCACGTCCTTCAGTTCTTATGAGGTTCTTCTGTGGTGCTCCATCTAATCCATCTAATCCCCTAAATTTTTATTTTATAAAAATAAACAGTTTTATTATCTCCAAGCATTTGTGAAAGGAAGGAAGGAAAATTCATTCTAAATCACATTCTGGTTTTACTCCAAAACTGCAATCATACTTTGAGTCTTATTGCCAAGGAGTGAAAATGGGATATTTTAATACTTCTTAACAGAATAAGTAAAAGAGTGTTTAGAGAAGGTAATACGTCCTTTGAATTTCATTCTTTTTTTAATGCCAGAACTTTAAGTCAGTTGAAATCATCATTGGATTTACTATTCAGATATCATTTTATTCATTTATAAAATGATTTATTTCTTTGAAAGTGTAATTCATCTTTAAACATTTTGCTGATATATTATGGTTGTTAAGTTTAATAGCTGCTCTAATGATCAAATGTCTTATGATGCTATAGAATAAGACAAAGGTAACTGGTTGTATCAGCGACTTATTGATTTGTACCAGTTATTATTTACTAGTAAGTAAAAACAAATTAATAGGTCATGCTCTCCTAATGTTCCACCAGATATTGGGGTAACTGACAGTGAAGGATATGAACATGATTGAGAAGGAAAACAGATTGTTTTAGTAGGTATAACTGAACTGCACAGATTCTATAAGTAAAGTAATATTTATGAATCCCCTAGAGTTCCCTCTAAGTTTTCATCAGGCAACTATGAACAAGTAATAATGTGATATAAGCAATAAAAAAGGAAGCCTGAAAATATATGTTCTGCTATAAACAAGTGTTGTTATAATACAGTAAATCTTACATTTTACTGTGATGCATATGTAATGATATGCATAATCATAACTGAGTTGCATGGTAAGCAGGCCAAGATAGATGCATTTTAGGTGAAGGCACATTTCCATGTTAAAGTGAGTTGTATATTGCTTTTGCTTTTCAAGGAAACATTCTTTGCCAGGAATGCCAGGAACAATGAAAACAAACATAGCCGTCATGTTGTAGGGGACTTCACTTCTCCAAATTCAAGCCATCTTCACCTCATAAAGAATATCCAACACCTCAACACCACCCTTACTATTTTGTTCATGAGCATATATCCCAGGTGAAAAAGACAGAGAACAAATACACTTAATTTTGGGTACTAAATCTGGGAGTAATAAAAGGAAGGCCAGCAGATGATCTAGAGCAAGAAGCTCCAATCCAACAGAAGCTTCATCTGTATTTACATAGTACTGCCTGAGCACTGCAGTGCATCTCATTTGTTGATGCACGAGCATTTACACAAGGTCCTGGGAACTAAATGGAAATTTACATGTTTATTTCTTCTTATCTAAATACTTTAAGAAAGGGGATTTGATCTTTAGAATCTTAATACCAGTCATTCAATATGCATCAAGGATTCACAATGCACATACATATGAAAACATATAATACACATACAAGTGCACATTATTGATAAGCATATGCTAGACAGTTTGGGAGATATTAAGATGAATAATTTCAGCATTCAATGGCATCATAATCCTTTAAGGGTAACATGTATATATATGCAAGCATACATAGAGGCATATACAAGTGTATCACCATAAATATGAGTATATATTTCACACTTCTTTTCTAGAGGCTTGCCTACTGACTTTCTTATGTGAGTAGGTATAGAGAAGCTATGATAGGATATTGATAGGCACTATCTGTATAGAGATTATTATTATTGTCTATATAATGTGGATACAGTTTAATTTAAAAGTTCTTTACTATTTGTTTTTTAAAGTTTTACATAACACTTTACAATTTTAAGGAACAGTTTATACCATCACCTTACAGTTAGTATTGAAAATTACTCTGTAGTGTATACCAGAAAATAACTATTATCTGTGATTTATTACTAGGAAACAGGATTAGCTAATTTAAGTGACCTGCTCGAAGAAGTGCACTTGTAGAAGAAACAGAGTCCAAGCCATAAGTCTAGTCTCTAGGCCAATACATTATTTTCATTGCCTGTAATAACTGCCTTTTTCCCTTAAAAATCCATTTAAGTTAAGAAGGTTTAATAAAAAATTTACGTCCGCTGCATGTAATATAGGAATTATTGAAAAGGCATATGGACAATTCAGTAATACACAGTTCAAACTTGAGAATAGTTAAGTCTGAAGGCAGCAGCAAGAAACAGGTTGGTACTACTTGGTCCATGTACCTGTACTACCCTGAAACTCCACCTGCAGGTACCACTCACTTCATATAATTGAATAATAATTACGCCTTTATCACTGATTAGAATACAAAGAAAACAACTGTTTTTCAGGAAATAGTTAAATTACTGCTTTGCATGTCCTTCTACAATGACTGAGACATAGAAGATACTTAATAATGAACAAATGAGTTCGTAAAAAGAAATATATTTAAGTGGGTATATAGACATGCTTCAGAGCTCGGATACACCTAGATTTAAATTCCTTCTCTGCATATAATTTTGTAGTTGTATGACCTTAAACTCTTTAGGTTACATTTCTTTATCTATAGAGTAGGGATCATAATACATTTTTTGAAGGCTGCCATGGAGATTAAAGGAGATAACACAGATAAGCTGGCAATCACATTGGAACCACCAAGTAAATGGATGTCACATCTATTATTGTTGATGCTAGATAGTAGTGGCTGGGACCCAGAGGCAAACCTTTGAAGTTAAATTAAGGGATGTAGCGAAAAGTTCCATCAATAGTCAAAGATAGTTAATGAAATTGGAATAAAGTATATACTTTGCTGTCATTACCAAAGAACTTTAAAAACCAGCCAAATGTACATTTCAATAAAAGGACAAATTTCTAGTTGTGAAGTTCCTGCTCAGAAAAATTCTAGTTCACATACAGATACTAAAAAATGTAGGCAAAAAGAGCAAACAGGACTGGCACTTATCCCTCCATTGTCATAAAACACAACGGGAATATTTCTTAAACAATTGACTTTTAGACAAACATTTTACTTCTACTAAGCCTATCTTTAAAATAAATTTTCTTTACAGGTGTAAAATTTAATGTATGGTAGTTTCCCTGCATAGAAAAAATCAAGGTGGGGGAAGTGTTGTCATATAAAAATATAATTAAATAGCAGATGGTACATTGATACATGATGTATACTAAAAATACAGTTTTAAGCACTTTAATGATGGAAATAGATACTATTTTTGTGAATAACTCTTCTCTGTGCTATTAGATATGACTGCAGAAACCTTTAAAAATATTCCCAATTGTTTCTATTTATGTAAATATAATTTTATATGATATAAAATATAGTATATGGGATATAGTGTATTACTCCACATCAAACCTAGCTCTCTTCTAAGGAGAGCACCTCACTAACCTTGCTCATTAGTGATTTTGTATTCTCTTTCATATGCTTTAAACATGAAAGACGACCAAGTTGCCTTGCCTCCCTAAAATCACCAGCTCGAATTCCAGACATTAAGCATAGGTGCTCTATCTTTCCTTTTGGAAGTTAGCTACCATCTTCTAAGCTACTTTCTCTCATGTGTTAAATGTCAGTCCGGGATTGTTCCTCTTCTTTCAGTACTACTTAGGTCATAATGCTTGGTGATAACAAAATCCTATGGAATACTTTTTGTTGTTGTCCTGTAGAATATTGATTCAGTACCCTGCCTGTCCTTTTCTCGCCCTTTTCCAATACCTGGCCCTCCGTGCAAGCTCATCACTTGATTCACAATATAGATCTTGTCACCACCAAGTGCAGCTCTTGATTGTAGACCTTTTGTTATCTCACACAATCTTTCATCCCAACCACTGTACTCTGACAATGCATCAATTCTGTTCTCATCTACAGTTTGCTAATCTGATCATCATATCTATTTCTCCATTCCAATCAAGACTTCATGTGCTTCCTTGCATTGTTTTTTTCTTTCATTGTGTATGCCCTCAAGTCTTGATTTTTTTCCTTTGGTCTCTGTTGCCTGACAAATTGTCAGTCTTGGTTATACAAAATTTTATGGATTCTCTCTGTGCTACTAAACGCAGTTGGAGAAATACACATAACTTCACTATGTGTCTCTTCAAACTCATGACCATTTACATCAAAAATATTTTTGAACATGGTGCAGTTCCCTAATCCAGAGGTCCCTAACCTACTATCCTCTAAGGCTTGTTAAGAACTGCATGGCACAGCAGGAGTGAGCAAGAGATAGTGATATTTCATCTGTATTTACAGCTGCTTCTCATCACTCCCATTATACCCGAGCTCTGTCATATCAGCAGTGGATTACATCCTCTCAGGAGCAAGAGCCCTACTGTGAATTGCACATGTGAGGAATCTAGGTTGCCTGCTACTGATGAGACTTTAATCCTGAAACTATCCCCTTCTCTACTCCGTACCACCCCAGACCTCTGCTCCCATCCATTAAAAGTTGTCTTCCACAAAACTGGTTCCTTGTGCCAAAGTGGTTACTACTGCAGGCCTAATCCATCCGAGCAGCTGCTCTCCTGACCACTGTGGCACTTCTTCTCTCAATCCCACACTGTCTGCATTTACCTACATCTATGGCACCTTTATTATTGCACTGATAAAGGGGAATCAGTTAAAAGTTTCCTACCTGTCTGCATCTGTGTTTATACAATGTCTCTCTTCTGTGGCTGTGAATGAAGTGTGTCTTCTATATCCAAGTAACAGCCTATCTCTTGCCTCTCAAGACTATAGATTGAGGAGTTTTCTTTCTTTTCTTTCCCATTAGTTTTATTCTTCCAGCAGACATATGCATGTATTGAAATTTCTTCCTTTTATATAAAAACAGACTTGGTACCATAGCTCTTTCTAGCTACTCCCTGATTTTCCAAGTCTCGTTTACACTGAAGCCTCTTGAAGAATTGTCCCTACTTATTATATCTAATTCCTTTATCCCCTTATCAATCCCACTCATATTAGGCTTCTATGTAGGCAAACACAGCATTTAAACTGCTGTTTTCAGCGTCATAATTAACTACTCAAAAACCAGCATCAAGTGTCAGGCCACATTTTATGTTTTCTCAGTAGCTTTCACCCTTTTATCTTAGTCTTCTTGGTTCCTTCTCATCTCCTCAAACTCCAAGCAATGAAATGGTCTGAACTTAATCCTTAAATTTACTGTCTGTTTCCAAATTAATCTCCCGGGTCAGCTTATCCATTCTCCTGACTATAAATCAGAGCTGTATACTGATTAATTTAAAATCTGTCTCTCTATAGGGCTTTGAATTTTTTCCTGAATTTCAGACTCATACTGAGTTGGCTTCCTAGAATTCCCACTCGAATATTTAATAGGTATTATGTGTTTACTATATTCACCATGAATTCCAGATTTGTCCTACAGGTCTGCTCATCTGGATGTCTTCCTCAGCTTTTCTTAGAACCATTACTGATTCTTCTCTTTCTCTCATACCTGATCTATCAGCAAATTTCTTACAGTGTAGTAAAGCATGTGGTTAAAATTAGATGCAAGGTATTTTGAGTAACTAAGACTATTTAGGATCAAAAATATACAATAGTTTAAAACATTACATCATATTATAGTAAGTATATTTTCAATATTGATAAACTAAGAAATACTATGTTGATGTAAATATTGATGCAGTATATATAATCATATCTCTCTAGGGCTATTTATGTCCAAATGAATTTATCGCTACTCAAGGTCCACTACCAGGAACAGTTGGAGATTTTTGGAGAATGGTGTGGGAAACCAGAGCAAAAACATTAGTAATGTTGACACAGTGTTTTGAAAAAGGACGGGTAAGCAATGCAAAAATCTTTTCACAAAAAACATTTTGTATTAGTATGTGTGAATATTTCAGATGTATTTCAATTCACCCATAACTTAAATGTCTATAAGACAGTTTTAACTTAGCAGCAATACTGTGAGATATATCCCATAGATAGATAGATAGTTAGATAGATAGAGATATTAATGTCTTAGTGACTTTTCTAACTGCTGATTTTCTCTAAATACAGATTAGATGCCATCAGTACTGGCCAGAGGACAACAAACCAGTCACCTTCTTTGGAGACATAGTGATTACAAAGCTTATGGAAGATGTTCAAATAGACTGGACCATCAGAGATCTGAAAATTGAAAGGGTAAAACAGTGAAGGAGAAGAACATGATGTACAATATAAATGATCTAATTGTCTAGAGTAAAATTAATATCTATATCCCTTTCAATTACATTCATTAATATGTTTCCATGTGCTTTTAAACAATTTTCAAATTGATATATGACATCAGTATCTATGTCACCATATTTAATTCCAGAACTTACAGTTAAGGGATATATTAATCAATTGGCATCACATACTTAGGTTGATAAACACAGAAAATTGAAGAAAAACAACTACATTGCTTGATTTTCTTGATAAAGAAACTAGTATTTGACCTAAGACAAAAAGTCTTCCAAATTATTCATCTCTAATTGAATCTAAATAACTCAATTTTCTATTTAAACAAGAACCAATATGGATTTAACAGCACAGGATGCTGTTATACTGGTTAAAAAAGGATTTACATACATAGAAAACTGTATAATGATCTTTGTATTTTCTGACATTAAATATATTATCTGTGTTCTTATAATTTGGTCAGTGTGTTCAAGCTTTGGCACTAAAATTGTTTCAAAACCAGGAGCTCTAATTAGATTTGAATATTGACACTTTTTATTCAAATCACTTGCAACCTTTCTTTTTTTGGCATTCGTTATGAATGGTAGTTTTCTTTAATAACAAAACATATAAACAAGAAATTATGAAAACATTTATTTTCTTCATGGTAAGTAGTTAAGATCACTCCCAAAAACTGACAATTCAACCTCCATGTAGTACTTATATAATTTTATTATTTATAAATCAACTACTTTGTCTAGCATGGGGATTGCATGACTGTTCGACAATGTAACTTCACTGGTTGGCCGGAGCACGGGGTTCCTGAAAACAGTACTCCTCTCATTCATTTTGTGAAATTGGTTCGAGCAAGCAGAGCTCATGACACTACGCCTATGATTGTTCACTGCAGGTAAGAAAAATATTTACAGAACCCTCTATTTAACGCTATTAAATGGTGTTGAAAACCAATAAGGTCTTTTTGCTATGAGGAAAACAAATTTTCAAAAACACAATATTAATGTGAATTTGTTCCAGGTTACAGTTTTCTGATTTTAGTAAGTCGTGGTGTAGTTTTCTAATAGTTCAAATGGCATAAACAAAATGACTGATGCAAGTATATAAAAGCAAAAAAAAAAAAACTTCAGTGCACAAATTGTCATGGACTATTGAATTATGATTTTCAAAGTCCTTTAAAATATGTCCAAATACTAATGCATCACTGATATTTGAATTTGTGTTTGTATAGGATTTTGTAAATTTTATAAATAACTTTCATTCTTTCATTACTTTAGTTGCTATTATTCTACTTTCACAATTTAAGCATTTTTGTAGAAAATAATTTTTAGATTTCTAAACTACAAAAAAATCAGTAAAAATAAAAAAATCAAATTAAGTGATCAACTCAAATATAGTCATAGATTTTTACAAAATTATAATTTCAAATTTTTTACTAGATCTCTGAACACTGTGCCATGACTATAAATGAGTATTTTCCCTCATTTTTGCCATTGGTATTTAGTATTCTTAGGAATAAAATTTAAAGCTATTTAACATTCAAAAATTTTTCTAAATATGTAGGCATAATTTTTAATATATATCTAAATCACCTCAGCTTAAGTGCTTTTTGCAATTAAAGTTTAGCGATTAGAGAAAAAGTAAGTGATTATGTATTACGATTGTACCTGCAAAAGATATTGAGAACAGATAAATTTAGAGACAGAAAGTAATGTAGTCATTGAGTGCATCGTGCAGTTTTCTCATCTCTGGGACAAAATATCTGACATTTGTAGCTTAAAAGAGAAGAGATTTGTCTGACCCACAATTCAGTAGGTTCAGTTGATGGTAGGCCAGTTTCAAGGCAGAAATGTCATGGTGGAGGAGTCTGAGGGAACAAGGTTGTTCACATAGCAGTCAGGAAGCGGAGAAAAGGGAAGAGTTGTTTGACCACCTTCTAATTTGAAGGCCCAGTCACCCACCCTTCTGATCAGGCCCTACCTTTGAATGTGAGACTTTTAATGTGCATTCTAGATCGAACCTACAACACTAGGGAAAGGATCTATTGTAGTTTGAATCTAAAATGTCCCCCCAAAACTTACGTGTTCAGAGGTTAGGCTTTTGGAAGGCAATTGGATCTTGAAGGCTCTAGCATCATCGTTTGTTGATTTGAAGATATTATTAGGACATGATAGAAACTTTGGGGTTGAAGAGTGTGAACAATGGGAGTATGGTCATAGGCTGTACAGGCTCCTTTTCTGCTTCCTAACCAAAATGAGGTGAGATGCTTCCCTCCACAAGGAGGCCTCAAGCAATGGACTCAGCAGGCCATGGACAAAACCCTCTGAAACCATGAGGTACAATGAATATTTCCCTCATTATTGTAAACTGGCATTTTCAGTTATTTTATAATAGTGATGAAAATTAGACTAATACCAGAGAGGGAGTTGTTTCTTGTTATGAACAAAAAATTCTAGAACTAGATAATGGTGATGCTATGTGACATTCTGAATGTTCTTAATGCCTCTGGATTTTACACGTAAATATTGTTAAAATGGTAAATTTTATGTAATCTATCTTTAATATATAAATGTCAACAAAAATATTTTATAGTAGGAGTATACTTTAGAAATTTTTCTAACAGCATACAATAGTGTGGTTTAATATTTAAGAAAATATAAATCCACACAATTTTTGAGTGTTTATTTAGAGAAAAGAACATCACTACATAATTTAAAATCTTATACATTTTATGAATATTTTGAACTTTCATTTTGCAAAAATGAAACATAAATGCTTGCTTATTATGAAATACACAAATAATGTCTATTTATAAAACATGAAACAAAAAAGTCTCATCCTCACTCTCAATTTAATTTCCTGTCACATACATAAGTTTTTAACATAATATTATGCTATGTAAATAGTATGGCACTTTGCTTGGAGTCAGTGATTGATTCTATGCTGGCATCGATGATGATGAAAACCGTTAGTAAACAATAAATGAAGGTAACAAAGCTGCTTTCAGTTTCTTTATACCTTGAATATACTCGACCGCAGCCACTATAAGCTATTTAAAAAGAAAAGAGGTTTTTTCTAAGCATTTGATAGTTTCTTCATGTGTGATTTAAGGAGATACAAAATATAATAGTTCTACAAATCCTCCATGTCTGAAGCAGAACAATTAACTCAATGCCTCAATTCTTTATTTGCTCCAGGCTTGGTAAACAGCATGGTCTTTCTGATTAGGCCATAACCCTGAAGTTTTTCAGCTCTCCTCTTCTTCATCTGCGTCCTATAGCCAGTCCACAAGCACATGCCCTGGTCCTTGGGCACCCCTCTGACCTTCCCCACTGCCCTCTCACCTCCTGGGTCTGGCTGTTCTTCTTCCAGACACGGAGCTAGTATCTCGCTAATAATACATGCCTCAAGGTCCAGTGACCCTCTCTGAGATACTTACTTGATTGTTCCTTAATCATATTTCTTTTGAAATACTGTATTATTTGAGATACTTTTTCTGTTGGCCTTGTTCTGTCTTTAACTGATTTTCCTTAAGCTAATTTATCTTTCTTCCTGGCACTTGTTACTATGATGCACATACATACTGTGTTTTTGTACCATTGACCTCTAGAATGTAATCTCCATTATACGTGGATAGTGTGTTGTTAACTATATACCCCAGATACCTAGAATAATTCCTGATACTAAAAATACATCGAATGATAAACTATGATTTCTCTGTTCATGCATATGAGTGGGCTTGTTATAATCAGTTGTAATACACTGATTAAATATGTTAAATTATATGAAATTACTAATATTTGATTAGTCAAGTATTTTAATAGTACTTATAACAATAGTACAATATTTTAATAGTACTTATAAAAATGGCAATTTCATGTGATCCAAAGAAATATTTATAAAACTAATGAACCTTCCAAATTTTTTCAGATTTATTTCCTATACTAATAATTTGTATATTGAGGGGTATTGCCTTTCTAATAGGAAATTCTGAACTAAGTTTCTGAGGTTTATCACTTAACAACTTTTATTTTGGGGGTGAGTAGAGCCTAAAGAATAGTTTTTTAAAGCAAAAAAAACTTACAATTTTTATGAAGCAACCACCCATGGGTATTGAATTAATTGAAAGGAAGTAACTTGTTGATTATATCATCTATAGTAGGTACAAAAAAACCCTGAAAAAGTGAACAATGCAACTGATTATTTTCAGTATCATTTAAAGAAAATATTATTTGGTCTAAGTAAATACTATTTAGTCTAGGTAAATATATTCTTCATAATAAACATTTTGACTGGTAGTTGGAAGAATCATCAAATGAAGTTTCTAATAGTGAGTGTTTAAAATTCTTATTTTTCATGAGTTCAATCCCCAGTACCGCAAAAAGAAAAAAAAATCTTATTTTACCAATACTCCCTAAAATATTATGGAGCAAGTTAAAATTAATTGGTTAAAAAATGAGAAAGACTCAAATAGTTAATAATGCCTTGTTGGTTCTCAGCTTGCTGTGTTTAAACACAGTTTTGGTTAACATAAAAATCCAGAGAAGCTCAAAAAAAAACTGTCTTCAAACAAAAGAAACTTTTTAGAATTTATTGTTATTATAATTCATGTATCTGTATAACTATCAAAATGAGTAAACCTTCATGGGATGAATTTCGTGTAATTTCTCTCTTCCTGCAGTGCTGGAGTTGGAAGGACTGGAGTTTTTATTGCTCTGGACCATCTAACACAACATATAAATGACCATGATTTTGTGGATATATATGGGCTAGTAGCGGAACTAAGAAGTGAAAGAATGTGCATGGTGCAGAACCTGGTAAGATACTGAAACCTGCAGTGTCAGTTCTAGAATTTCTGTGTGAGAGGATCTTGGTAGTGATCTGTTTTGAAGCAGGCACTCTTTCCTACATTACAAACCTCTGAGGCAGGTCTTGGGAAGGACAGCAAGTGGAGATTATGGGAGAAATAACATCACCTTTAAGTACTGTTAACTGACTCTTCATCCTACTTTATACTGATAGACAATATGATACATATTGTAAAGACCAATCCCCAGCTGATAAGACGGTCTGCCTCTGTACTTCCTGCTTGCTTATTCCATATCATCCCTAGACCACTGGAGATTAAGGCCTGATATTTTGGGAATGATCCCAATCAGTGCCTGTCCATTATTAAATAAATCTTCCTCCAAATCCTGGGTATTGTTTTGGTGTTTCTGTTTAACAGAGCACCTGGTGCTTTGGCCAGAAGACCTGCCATGTTGACCTCTTTGGCCACTGGTCACGGCCCTTGTGGATGGAGCAAGGGCCTCTCCAGGTCCTGATGGAAAGGTGAACTCTTGAGATTTCTACAGTTCCTTTGGAGATCTGGAGGATTCCCAGCTCCCCACTGACTGGCTCAAATCAGTCCCAAAATGGAGAAAGATGTACTCTACCTGTCTATCTGTGTGTCTGCCTGTCTGCATGATTCTGGTAACATCTCTGTTATCATAGTCAGTTGTAATACATTGATTAAAGATGTTAGATTAAATTATATGAAATTACTAATATTTGATTGGCTAGTACTTATAAAAATGGTAATTTCATGTGATTCAAACTAATATTTATAAGATTAATGAATCTACCAAAATTTTTCAGATTTATTTACTGTATTAATAATTTGTATACTGAGGGATCTTATCTTTCTAATAGGAAATTCTATTAGTCTATCAGTTCTGTTCAACTTGATTAGAAGAGGAGTCTGATCAGCTCTTCTTAGGATCACCACTGAGGGAAGGAATTGGAATATTTAACTTCTTAGTGCATACTGAATGAATGTGTGAATGAACAGAATAGACAGCTAAGCAATAGGCTACACCATCTGTGCACCAATACTGGGAAGCACTTGTCACAGTGGCCAATTGGGCCCTCTCCTGTGATTCTGTGGTGATCAACATAAGGCATAACGCAGGTCTCAAAAACCGTCTTAACTAAATCTCACCTGTATCCCTATGAGAGGCATGGCCAGGTGATCTCTTACTCTGAGGGGCACCCACTCTTTGTTGTGCCATCATTCAAGTATTCAACACACATGCGGGAAGTCACAGAAAGGAACTCAGTCGAAACCACACTCTCTGACTGCAGGAAAAAGAGCTTTTCTGAGCTTTTCTGAGAGTCAGGTACTTGAGTTAAAACTGAAACCAGACCACTTAAGGAAAAAAGAGCCACATTCTTCCTAAGAATTCTACCTTGACACCCTTGTTGACCACCAGAGTTGCTGCCAACAGTTTCAATCCCATGCTCTCAGCTCCAGTTGAATGAGTTCCAGTTTGATCAGTCATTGCCCACATTCACTACAGAGGACCTCCCAGAGACACACTTATCCTAGTCAGATGGTGTTACCTAATGCCCACCCAAGAAGTCTGCCAACAATTCCTTCAGAGTTCCACATTTTGACTAAGGAAAAGTTGGACTGTTATCCCTGATGAGTTGCTATGGCCTTTCCCAAAGGTCACCTTGCCTAGAAACAATGCAGTTAAATGCTTCTCAAAGACCTGAAAAAGGGGGTCAAAAAGTCCAACAACCCTATTACCCAGAAACCTAATATAATCACCTAATGTGCATAAGAAAATCCAGCCTGATAGATGACCATACCCTGTGAGTTATAATGAGTTATAATGGCTATAGACATAAAAAATAAATGCCTCCTCCATCCATGAGACACGCAAAAACATCGACTATCCAGGGCTGCCTCAATCTGAACCTCTCCTCACCCTGTTGAGCCTGGATAAATAGGACACAGCCCAAGCTCTATCAAACTGGGTCCCCAGGAACCTGTGTTCATTGCAAAAGTCAGGAGCACACCTGTGACTTTCCATTGGTAGACAATGGAAGATAACTCTCTGGCTTCAAAATGTGCCTCTGTCAAAAGGTTACCATCATTAGAGCAACTGGGACTCTTGCTTTTTGCCCCTTTTATCAGGTACAAACTTGCAGCCTGAGAGGATATCTCACCAAACATAAATTCCTGTGTAAGCCAGTCTTCATACTGCTTCTGCAAAGAGACCTTCTCTTCAAGTTAGAAGAGATCATCTCCTTTGCACCATACCAGCTGGCCTTCCTCTCATTTAACCCTGTACTTTCAGATTTAACTGTTCCCCCAAGAGATAGGTGATGCCTGTATCAGCCAGAGACAGATAACTTCAATCTTGAAGCTCTTAGAACTTTCCTCCCAAAGGTATGAACTAGACTCACCTCTGGGCCTGGCCATCAACCATGTTGCTTTACTGCAACCCCATTGCTGTCAGATGTCTCAGGAAACAGAACCTGGCATCCAGACACACATCAGCCTAATAGACTGTTAATCACCTTGGGCAAGATATCTGTACCATCCATCACCTTGCATTCTGCAGTTCCCAACCCATACACCACGTTTAGACTGTTACTCAGTTACCACAAGGATTTGGAAACTCTCCCACTATTTTCAGGGAGGCCCTAGTAATAGATTTGGCTCTGGGATAACCTCTTTCTACATCCTTTCCCCAGAAAAAAAAATGAGGCTTAAAACCATAAAATGTCTTTGGACTGTCAAGCTGCTAAAATACATGTTCCCCTGCCTATAAAGCCAAGATCTCTGAGCTGCCAAGATTTCTCACTATATACGTTGTTTCAGTCTTCTGCCATCCACAGCCGGCTGGTATACCTGTCTGGACCTAAAGAATGTCTTCTGCCTTTGATTTGTTCCTGTCAGCCCACCCCTCATTAACTACCTCAACAAGTTTCACAAATATAGCTTTAGAGCCACCATTCCAGAGTTAAAAGAGCCCTTCCAGATGATTGCTGAAGAATTCATAGGGGCCAGGCAGCTCATTCCAAAGAGACAACACACTCAAAGTCCTGCTTTTGTCCCTGCAAACACTGACCAATCCATACATGGCTGAAGCTTGAGAACACATTCATAGGACTGCTGCATATCTATTTACCTTGTTGCTTACCCCAATCCTTGATCCCCTGCTCACTGTGATTTTTGCCTTAAACTCTATGGACAGTTGCTCCAAGAAAATAGAACAGTCAGTCAGGTACTTGACCAAGATGTAATGAGTGTTCAAGGCACACCAGATACTCTCCTAGATCAGATTAAATCTATCACTTCCTTGCCAGAGTAATAGTAATATTTTTCCAAACTCTTACGATTGTGGGACCTTCAATCCTTTATACTTCAACCTTGTATACTTCAACCTTCAATGCCAATATCATAGGGCATTAGTGCTCTTAGGAACAAGCTGCTCCAGGCCAGAGATATCTCATTCTTCAGGAAAAACATTTAAGTATTCAACTTAAGTTGAAAAACATTAGATCAAATAAACAATATTTTGAAAACACTGCTAATTGCCATAGCTTCATATCATTAGATATTTTCAAAAAAGAAATATATAATGAGATCTGTTTCATTTTGATAATAGTTTTAAAATACACATGTCAAATTAGGTATATATATTTAAATCTAACTTTTTGTCATATTTGATTGCATTGTTACTTTCCATAATAATCTAGATACAGGACGATTACTCTAGAATTAAGATCATCAGCCTGAATTTTCTTATCATTCATTTGGACTTGCATGCTAAATATTAATTTCATTCTATAGTTGCTACGAATCTTTTACAGCCATTTTCATTCTGGAACAATTAGGTGAAACTAGGTAATAGAATCCATTCCCATTCCCTTAAAGGCTGAAAGGAGGCAAATAAGTCCCTTCAGTCACTTCAAAAGTGGAATATGTTGTGTGACCAGAGGTGCTTCATGAATGTGAAACCTGTGCATTTTCTTGACAAGGGCCTGTTTGGGGTTTAATGTTTGTTTCATTGTATTAAACTTTTTGAGGAATGGCATTTATATTATATTTTAGAATGGCCCCTGAAAATCACATCTGCAGGAGTTTTATGAGGGCTTTCATTTCAACCCAACTGTCAACCATTATTAAAATTCAATATCCTTCTGATTTTTAATTAAAAATAAAGATACAAAGAAGTTTAATACAGGACAGAGGGTTGGACTTTATTTCTTTCAAAAATCTGAGGTAAATCTTCCAATATTAAAAGGGAAAACAAATTTGTCATTGCTGCAGCTTTGTGGAGCTGAACTTTGTAAACAGCGTGTTCAAGAAGGCCTGTTACTAATTTTACACACTAGAGTGCTCAGTAACTGTTATAAATTTCATACATTATAATTGTTTCACCAGGCAGAGCAACAACTTTCAGGTTGAGTAAAGAAATGGAAAGAGTAAGGATTTCAAAGTCAGAAACAGAGTTCAGAATCCAGCTGGGCTGATTGTTGACTCTGAGACATTTTTCAGTCTCTGGGCTATGTCTTTTTTGTGAGATGGCAAAATTTTCATAAGTTTGTTATCAGTAGTAAATAAAAGAAAGTATCTAAACAACACACAGAATAACCAGCATGCAGTAAATATTTTGCTACATTCCCTCCCTGTTGGAAAGCAGGTGCTTCAAAGCTCCTTTTCTTCTGAGTTCTCTAAAGTTAGGTTCTCACTATCTTTTTCTCTGTGATGAAAAAGATAAAAGTAGCTCCAGTCTTTATGAACCAGCATTGCTTATTTTCTTCTGTTGTATGGGGAAATGATTTTAGTTTTCTTGAGAAATGCTCGAGTCTCAGCGTATACATGGCAGACAAGGGTTGCTGCTGTTGCTGGTTTTAGAATACAGGAACTTCATCAAAGATGATAACATCTAAAATTATATTGAATAAAGATTGAGCTGGATCAGTCCCTTTCCTATTCTGTATACCCTGGAAATTTACTGGAGTGAACTCACATATGGTAGAAAAAAAGGGAGGTGTTGTATTTTGAACGCCTAGCTTCTTTAAATACATTTATATGTTAAATCTTACAATATAGATTTTTATATGAGATGAGGAAATTGAGCATCAAAAACATTTAATTCCTTGGACAGCATGCCAAGCTAGGGTAGAAACTGGGCTGTTCATGACTCTGCACAGCCTCCCTGGAAATAATACAGGTTGGCAGAGGAACTTGGCAGCCTTGGGACTGTCTTGTACAGCTCAGCTTGCTCTGTTGGCAGAGTTTACGCTATCATTCTTTCCAGTGAAGATGAGATCTGGATAGTCAGAAGCTTCATATATCAAGTATGACTTCAAATTCATGTGTGCTTTAAAAAAGTACTCAAATTCAGAAATTTAAATAACTTTTAAATAAATCATGTTGTGTCAGTATATTTCTGTCAATGATATTATTTGTCGTGTTATAAATATTTGAATAGACTTTTGGAATTACCATGAGAAGTAACTTACTAGCGATTTTGGTAGAATAGTTATTACTTTATACCACTTCATTTCTTACCAAAATTGAATCCTGTAACTTGATCATCCACCTCACTTACAAAACTTGACCCCTAATGACTTGTGGATGTTCTCCAGATTACAAGTCTTTAAATAGTAAAGATTGGCAAGCTGTGAGAATTAAATTGGACCAAGTAAACGAACATTCATTATGCAACTAGTACGTTTCAGGCAGTATCATGGGCAATGGGAATAGAGCAGTGAATATGATTAAGTTCTATTCTTATACAGCTGACATTCTAGTAATAAAATGTTAGTGGAAATGTTCTAAAATCTAGGAAAAGATAGGTATTACTAATGATGCCAATAATTTCTGAAGACAGTTTCAATAGAGTTCCAAGAATGAATTTGAGCTATTATTGGAATACATACATAATCTCTTAAAATGATCACTTTTAAGGATGTTCTATTTATATTAACGTTCAATTCGTGTTTTCGTGTTTGTATATATATATATATATATATATATATATATATATACATAACACACACAAATATATATGTATATATATTATATATTAAACATTTTTTCTTTTAAAGTTAGGTTTGTTTCTTATGTACAAACAAGGATGATTTTAAATGTACCTTTATTTTTAGCCTTAACTATCTTTGAAAAATCCAAACTCAGAAATACCAAGTAGGTTATTGAATTATATTAGATAAACTTAAAAGAATCCAGATAGTACTGAATTTAACCCAAACATTCAAATGAAGTGAAATGATTGACCTCTTTGTTCAGCACCTAAATGTTTGGAAACTTTACCAATCAACTGCCTTGTATTGTCAAGTTGTGAACAGGTACTTGATAATGAGTAGGCCAAAAGTCCAGGTGGTTAACAGAATTGTTAAATATATTCAAATGTGCTCATTTTCAGATTTCAAAAATATGTATCATTTGCATTCTAACTAGAAAAATAATTGTAAGAGAAATTACATCAAAAAGAAAAAGGAAGCTCCTGAACAAATTAAGTGATAAGATTTGCCACATTTTATGATCACAGCAAGAAAGAATATGTTAACATTTGTTGTTTAATGACAGATTTTTTAAAAATTTTGAAGTTACAAAAAATGCAGGAATTTAGCAAACATTATGTTTGAACTGGTAGATATCTTTTATATACTAGGGTAAACTGTGCCTCTGATTTAGCTATTTCACATTTGTTGAATTCAATACTACTTTTCAGTGTAATACTATATCTCCCCATATGAGAAAAATCCCTAGCCCGCCATTTGTTTAACTATACTTCCTTTGATATCTAGGCACAGTATATCTTCTTACATCAGTGCATTTTGGATCTCTTGTCAAATAAAGGGAGTAATCAGCCCATCTGCTTTGTTAACTATTCCACACTTCAGAAGATGGACTCTTTGGACGCCATGGAAGGTAAACAGAGACAATATGTACTCAATTGGCTGACTTACTACCTGGAACAGGAGGATTAATTGCATAATAACCATAAGTTTAAAATGTTGTATAAGCTAGTTTAATGTACATATAAGATTTTTTAAATTTCTCTCTGATCTAAATTGGGCTAATAGCCTTTCCATCTGGATTGCATTTTTGCCATGAAACACTTAAGTCTTTTGAACTGTTAGCTTAATACTCTCTTGTGATATGTTACTTTATATTATAGGTGATGTTGAGCTTGAATGGGAAGAAACCACCATGTAAATATTCAGACCAAAGATTACAACTGGAAGATATTTTCAAATCCCAGGGGCCAAAATTACCCCCTCATGCTTCTGAATTGAAACGTGCAACCTTGAAGAAATATTTATACTTCCCTCACTGTGCCTTATTACATGGACTGACCATTTTATGAACAGTTCTAGATCTGCTAATTCAGGATAGTTACTTGTTTTATACAGAATAAATCTTGTACATTTAAAATGTTTAAGAAAATATGCCCCATAGGTTTTGAAGGTGGTCTGTATTTTGGAATAAGCCAAATATGAAAACTATTATTATACTAGCTTTTAGGTTCCAGTGTGGATTTTCCCTATGTATCAGATTTAATTTTGAACAAAAGCTGTAAATGTTGATTCAGTAGTGTTATTTTGGCCTCTGGGGTGTTGACGTTTCTTGTGGAAGACTTCCAGGACTGTCATAATGATCTGTACTTCCATGTATGCCCCTGTGTTTTGAGTCCTCTGTTTTATGAGTGCTGAGATATCATCTCATGATCCTGAACAGCTGAACAGTAACCCCCTGGCACTGCAGGGATTACTTAGCCTTTAGACAGCACACAGTAGCTCTTTAGGGGAACTTGGGGCTATTTAAATTGCATTGTGCCCTCAATTTTGAAAAAGAAAGAGGAGAACTAAAAGTGCAATTGCACATATGAAGTTAGAGGGTCTCTTTCTCGCATGCCTATATTTATACAATGTAGGGCACAAGTTGTACCACTGTATTGTGTATTAAATGCATAGTTAAATGTATCAGAATATTTGTGCATTATGTTTATATTCAACCTAATATTAACAATTTTGAAGGGTTTATTCAGCAGATATCTATGAAAAACAGTAATAAAGTCATGGAATGTGTTGCAAGCTTGTAAACTAATGATGTGCTGCTGTGGTGCCAACGGAGACTTCTGAATAGATTATATTAAGTGGCCTTTATTTCACTTCCCAAGGGTTATTCTGGAGGAGTATATTTGGTGAACAGAAAACAAGAAAATTAAGCACACTGTAGTAAATTAGAGATTTTTAAAAATAAAGTCATTCAGCCTTCACTTTATTATATATTAACAATGTCCTAAATAAGTTAAGCTATATGAAATTGTCTTTCCATACATTTCAATTAAAGGCATAAAAATGAATGGAACCAATTATATTTCTTCTGTAATAAGAGTCATTTATTTTTATTTCTGCTGGAATATACATGTAGAATATATGATGGCCAATAAAACCAAATTTTAATGGAGTTACTTTGTATCATGATTTCAGAGATCTGCATTTAAATATAAATACAATTTTGCAACATACATAAGATATAATAGATAATTATGTTAATTATATTACATATACTAATATAATAACATTTTAAATAAAAGAAATGACATAATATAATTTGTATAATATAAATAATTAAGACATAGTCACTTCCCAAAGCATCCACAAAGAATAAATGAGATTCACTACCCAATAAATCAAATCCTTTATTTCATGAACAGCTTAAAGGAAAGTGTGAAATTTGCGTTTTCATTATTCATAGGAAGGAACTATAAATAAATACAATTCACCACTGTTCTAACAAGTTTACTTTATAGAAAGTTAAAGAAAAAATTATGAGAAATCTAAAAGATTCAAGTTGGAGTTAAAGTTCTTGTTTTTTCCTGTTAGTCATTGAAAATGTATAACAAACTGGTATGATCAGTATGGGTTTTTTATTCATGAAATACAGAAAACAGGAAATTACTGATTACATTTACTTTTTAGTATGTTAAATGATAAAAAAGAAACAATAGCTCAAACTACAAGGCAGGCCATGTTCTGTAATATCTGTGTAAGTCAGATATTTATATGTAAAAAATAATAGGACACACATATATATATGTGTGTGTGTGTATGAATATTTGCAAAACAAATACTAGTATTTGCAATACTACTAGTATTAGTTCTTTTTAAGGCAATTCTTATCAAATTTTAATTTTTGCATGGATCACTTAAGAATTCTGTTAAAATAAATATTCTACTTAAGTAAGAGTAAGATAGTCTTTAGAATCATTTCTAACAGTATTCAAGTTATATTCCTGTCTGCTCTCAGGCCGTACATTAAGTAATATATGATTTCTTTAAAAGACATCAGGATCAGAATAAAAGACTCAACTTCATTATCGGAATAAACATAATGGTACATGTATAATTTAAGTACACAGTTTACTAGCTATATCAAGAAAGTGTAACTGAAATTGATTTGAAAGTAGCACATTAATGATAACCAATTTTAACTATATTGTAAAAGAGCCAATGTATATACAAATTCTGCATGTGTTTGCTATGTGCAAATTAAAATAACAGAACATCTAACATTTTTAGAACTGATTTGTCACAATTTGTTGAAGAACATGTACAGTAAATAAGCAACATGTGTTTCATGTGAATCAAATGAAACCGGGGCCACTCAGAACAATGTTTCAGAGATGAGACCAGCTGTGGGTAACACCTCTGCTTTCATCTCTCATTTATATGCATAATTGTCATTTATTTTATAGGTTATTGTGGAAGAAATTAACCCTTGACTTCTTCATTAAGGAGACAGTGATTTGCTGACCATGTACTGTGTCAAACACTAGATTTCAAAAATAGAATCTAAATTCTGCAGAGTATCCATACATTATTGGGATAACCAAGTCCATTTTCATGGACATCACCTTTTGGAAGACTCAGTGTAAAATTTTATGAGGCCAAGGGCACATAATGAACTGAAATTCTCAACTGAATAAAAGTAAAAATATGGAAAAAGTTTATACAATCTTAGCAAAACCACTTGTCTTCCTAGGACATGTGGTATTTTATGGTAAATGATTTAATAAATATAAAATTAGGGCTAGTATGTCCACTAGCCCATAGGAACAAATCACTGTCTTAGTTACTTTATGCTCATTGCTGAGACAAAATACCTGAAGCCCAAGTTTGGAAAGGAAAGGTTTATTTCTTACAGTTTTTGGAGGTTTCAGTCCACACTCAGTTGACTCCAAGGGAGGTAGGCATGGCTGGGCTGCCCTTCATGGTGGCTGCAAACAGCAAACAGTAACCAGCAAAGAGCAAGACACACCTTCTTCCTGCCATTACATCACATCCTGGCTCCACCCCTATGTGGGTGGAGCACTGACACCATCAATCCAAGCACTAGACAATGAACCAATCACAAATACACAATGCAAACTCATGAGGCCTGGGGGACACAGACATAAACCATGACAATCACATATATGAAATGTTTTTTTAAAAAAAAACTACAATGAACTTCATCAAGTAAAAATAGTCTTTTATCACAGCTGATCAATGTATAATAATTATTAATGAGACAATGGATCCCATATTAGCATTGTGCTGTTCTTTGTGATATTAGTGTCATGTTTGTATATTATACATGGAAAGACAGAGGAGAAAGCAAAGATAGATACATTGACTCCAACTAAGACCATTGATATCTTTTATTAAATGAACAATTAAGCACATACTCAAAGAATGTTTGGAATAAAATGAATATGAACACAAATAATATAAAATATGACTTGGAAAAGAGGTCATGAAAATTTTCATTTTTGATAACTCAATTAGGCATTCTCAATCAGTGCCTGTAATACCATTCTCTGAAAATAAAACTGATATAATACAATGTAATAAAATAAATATATTATTCTCCTCAGTTAACATGATTTTCTAAAGGCACAAATGAGTTATTTTAATATTCAAAAATTGGTAGATTTTTATAATAAACTATAGATGTTTTGCTTTTACATTCATTATTCATTTAAGTTTTTAAAAACCTTTAAAATATGAAAGGTCTGTTATTAGATATACAATAATAAAAGATAAGACAATGGAAGCTTAATTACTATGGCTCAAACCATATTTTGTAAGGATGGTGGTAAAAGAGTTTGTTATAAAAATATTCTATAAATATTCTTATGAATATATTTCCATAAGTCTTCCAAATGGCATGCTTTGTATAAATGTGAAATATTCATTATAAAGAAATGTCATAAAAAATATGTGTGTAATTAGCCAGCTAGAGGTTTTCTTCTTATTGCATGAAAATAGGGTAGAGAATATCTTGATGTACACGCAACATTTTTGACAGAATATGAGACTGAAGGAAAAAGCACATCTATAATTATAAAGACAGCAAATCCTTCCAGGTTGATTTGCAAGTTAAGCATAACCAGTTTCTAAATTCTGAACTCTTAAATATTCTTTCTTAAAATGAAATATGAATGGGAAACACCTGACACTCAGAGTTCTCTACAGAATTCTCAGTAAATGAGGCTTCCCTTAACAAAACATTAAAATAAGGTTTTAAACATAAACTTAAAATATATAGTATTGTAAAATAAACTACAGTCTTTTAAAACATTAAGTCCCCCAAATTATATCAACTAGTGTCTTGTTCATAATACTGAACATCTAACTACATATAGCTAGACATAATGAAAGAGCAAAAGACAATGTGACCTATAACCAGAGAATGATCCATTATAAAAACAGATGCACAAATAGCAGAAATAGAACTTTTAACATAGCTATTAAAATATTTTGAGGAAATAAAATATAAAGTTGATAGAAACAGAATTAGTACCTACTGTCTATAAAATTACATGTATTTATGTTTTAAAGAAATTATACACATTTATGTTTTAAAGAATATACTTAAGTTGTGATATGTATTATTTGCATCATACAGATTGTTATAATTAAACTTGTAATTAACAACCATTTTTTTGAAAATTATCATACATTAGGCATTTGGGAAACAATTTATAAAAATTAATTCAGTATTATTAAATAAGCATTATTTGCCTTTAAAGATGACTAAACCAAAGAAGGTACATAGTCCAACCAAAGTTATCCATTAAATAAATCAATGATCCTAAGCTTGAGTCCGTGAAGTCTGGCTTCTGATCTTAGTCTTTTACCACTAATTCTTTTATATTATAAAACGAATACCAGATTCATGGTATACGAGGTATACCTATGATATTACCTACTTAAATTTAGTGTATACATATTAACTATACTCCCATTCTCAAGTACAGACACTTCTGAATATTGCCTATAGTAATTTATTTTATGAAAATTAAATTGCTTCTTTCATATGATAGTGTGATAATACTAGCCTTTATATATAGATATGTATTCCGGTATCCTTTCTGCTAATTTCTTATTTCTCTAATATATACTTGATGCAAACCAAATTGTATTGTTTTTCCAACTTTCTGTACATTTCTGCCAGGTTTACACTCCTGTCTCCCAGCTCTGATGATTCCGCAGCTCGTTCAGTAATCCTCATTGCCATTGTATTTAGTCCATATTTTTAAAAATACCTTTCCCAAAACAATTCCTCTCTTTTTTCTTTTCCAGATATAAACCAAATATTTGCTAAGATGTGGAGTTTGGCCATTGGTACAAAGTTGTAGCTAAGAGGAACAAGTTTAGGTGTTCTTTTGCTATCTAAAACATTCCCTGAACTGCCTGCTATATTTCCCTTATTAACCAATATATAACTTAGCACCTGTCTGAGGGTATTTTTACATATTCTCATATACTGATATTTTCCATTTACTAGTCTTCATTTGCCTGCATAACCAATCAAGGATTTTTATGATTTTATCTAAATTGCATTTAGCATAATACCTTACACAGGAGATAGACTCAAATTAATATGTTCCAGTTGGAGTTCACTTAAATAGAAATAAAATAATGCTGTCTGTTTGATAATATATTTTCCTACCAAAACTCACATGCTAAAATAAATATCTTTTCTGTTGGAGGGTGAACAAACGATTTTGGATAATATATAAATGAAGGCTGGAGAAGTGGGAAAGCCAGCACATAGTAATATGTCATTTGTTCAAGATGACCAGTTATCCTGAATGAAACCAAGAACTTGAAAATATTCAAAAAGTATTTAAGCAGTTGCAGCTGAAAAAAATGAAATTCTATACAATTGGGCAATTTATTAAATATAGTTCAACAACAATCATTTTTTACATTATAGTCATATGTGCAAATTCAGTTTTTCACAGAAATCTGCATGCAGCAACACTGATAGATTGTACTCTTTTTATGTGTGTCCACACACACACACACACACACACACATTCTTCTTAAAATGCACACTTTCCTTCAACATCTAAGAATTCAGGAGCATTTATTGAAGTTTATCATATTTCATAAACTACATGAAACAATAAAAATACACAAAATAATCAACATTTCTGTGTCTTTGGCAAATTATTTTCTCTTTTAGTTGCATTATACACACTCTTTAAGGAGACAGAATGGGTTTAATATATTTTCTAAGAGATCGCATCAAAACTCATTTGATTCAAGAGGAAGAGTGAGGCAGTAACAAGATACCCTCCGAGTGAGGCAGGTGCTGTGGCTGAGCAGGCAGGTCTGAATTAAGCTGCCAACACGCTCGTGCGTGGAGGCGGACACTAGTCCAGAGACTACAGTAACGAACAACAGGTGTTAAACCAGGCTAGCAGGACACATGAGAGTAGCTGGGAGGAGGTGGTACATCATAACAGGCAGGTGAAGCAAGGCTACAGAGAATCTTGGAACTGGCCCCATGCAGATTTAAATAAGGTCAAGTGACTGGGAAACGAAGCCACAGAGTTAGGGCTGGGTAAGGCAAACTATAAGGAAAAATGTTTATATATATATATATATATATATATATATATATATATATATATATATTTACTGGACTATGAATAGTGAAAAAAAATGTAACGTCACCAAACAAGAGTCCATACTTGACCTTTAAATGACATGCCACATAATCTGGCAGCAGACATTCTAGGGATGTGGATTAGTTTATACTCTGGCTCTCATAGTTCCCATAATGTAGTAAGGCAGGTGACTGCACACCAAAACACCAAAGAAAATGCAACCGTGTGAACATCTAAAGCAAAAAAACCAAACACACAAACAAATGAAACCTTCACAATTTAAGACATTTATGCAGATTTAATTCTGATGGATGAATTATTTCATTCTGATGCATGAATTTTTTAATTCTGACAGATGAATTATTTCCCTCTTTGAGGGAAATGATTGATACAGCTTGGCATTTATTTGCCATATGTTTGTATGATGGCTTGGATGTGGTGTGTTTCCCGAAGGTTCACGTGCTAGAAACTTGGCAGGGCTGATGAGGTAGAACATTTAGGAGTTGCGCCAGTAAAGGTGGTTCAATCATGAGAAACCATGTTGGAAGGGATTAATGTCTGTCTCATATGAATGGGTTTGGTCTCACATGAGTAGATTAGTTTTCTAGAGAATGAAATATTATGAAATAGGCCACTCTATGTACTTGGCCCCTTTTGTAGGTAGCAAGTTTCTTTTCTACCTCTCTACCAGCAGGATCCCTGGCTAAGATGCTGATGCCATGCTATTTGGACCTTCCACACACCAATAATGTGAGCCAAACAAACCTCTTTTCTTTACCTATTATTTAGTATGCTGTTATAGCAACATAAAAGATACTAAACGGTTTATACTTCAATGCACAATATAAAGATTGTGAGTTGATATTAATTCTCTTAGGTTGACAATGAAAAGAATGAATTTATACCTAAAGAATTTTAAATGATAACTGGCAAACAATAGTCAATATATGTTGGTATTTATCATGATAAAAGAATTTGGGTTATTTATTTATTTATTCATTTTGTTCTGGGGATTGAAGTCATAACCTTGCACTTGCCAGGCAGGCACTTACGCTACTGAGCTAAATCTGTGGCCCAAGAATTTGGATTTTAGAGTAAGTAAATTATGACTTTATTTTGTTTGACATACTATTCTAAAATCCATATGTTACTAAAAGAGATTATATAGGTAGAGTCAATTCCATTTATAGTGTGAATGATGTTTACTTTTACTAATATAAAATTACTTACGTGAACTTTGAGGAAATTTATGCTCACTAAAAGTCAAAGTTTAGTTCTGTATGATGTAAAAAATACTGAAGATTTAATTGAATTTATCACGGTAAATTAGAACT